GCTCTGGTGGTATAGTGGTTAAAGTACTTGGCTGATAACCAAAAGGCCAGTAGTTCAAACCCACCAGCCACTCCATGGAAGGAAGATGGGGCAGTCTGCTTCCATAAATATTTACAGCCTTGGAAACCCAATGGGCGTCACTAAGAGGTAGAATCTACTCAATGGCAGTGAGTTTGGTTTTGGGAGTTATACCCGTAAATGGAGTCTCTTAGTAGGACAAATGATTCATGTGTTCAGATGCTAACTGAAAGTTTGAAGGTTCAAATCCACCCAGAGGCACCTTGGAAGAAAGGCCTGGTGATCTACTTCTGAAAATCAGCCATTGAAAACCCTATGGATTATAGTTCTATTCTGATACGCATAGGATCACCATGAGATGGAATCCACTCAACTGCAACTAGTTTTTTTATACCTGTAACTATAATCCTGTTTGGAAACAGAGTTTTCTCTGCCATGTTAATTAGGTCTACCTGAGGGCTGGATTCTAAATCTAATTACTTATGAGTTATAAAAAGACCAGAATGGTTAGGGACACATGAGGGAAGAGAGATGCCATGTGAAGATTGCTATAAGCCAAGGGATGCCAAGGAAACATAGCACTACCGTCTCAGAGGGAATCTACATGGTCAAGTCACTGATTTGGGCTTTTAACCTCCAGAACTGTGAGAAAATAAATTTCTGTTGTTTGAAGCCATCTAATTGTGGTGTTTGAATTACAGGAGCACTGGGTAACTAAGACACCATCTTAACAGTTTAGTTTCTTAACATTAAGATTTATCTGCCTGGGCTGTTCTCCTGGAAAGCCTTTATTTGTGGGGTGGCAATAGTTTCCAAATATTTGTTCTATGGAACAGAGACCTCTCATTTGCCCCCAGATGACTACGCTTCTTGTTGATGGTACCTGATCCTCTCCAGGATAAGACATAGTCTTTCCACTCCCTATTTCTTCCTATTTAGGACACTTTCCCTGGCTATGCATGGTCTACACCTGGACTATCCATCTTTACCTATTATTTTATTCCCCGGATAGAGGCTTAGCTGTCCTACACCTGGGAAGATGTGGAAGCCAGAAGCCAGAGCTGGTGAATGGCTGCATATATGGATGCAGCAAATCTCCAAGGCAGCTTTCTTAAAAGCACCACTAAAATGCTCACTTAGCACTAGCAGGAGGGACAGTTAGGAGCTCTGGATCTGGGGACAGCAGTAAGAAAAATCTGACTAAAGGCGACAAGTCTGAGAACTTAAGGTTTCCTTTTTTTCTTCTTCACTTTCTGGTGAGGTTTGAGATGCTCATTACCATAGAAATGTAAGGATATCTGGGCCCTCTATCATCTGAAGGCCTTTTCCTCCACTAGAAGCTCACAAGTTTAAGCTTCACTTTACAAAAGAAAATCACCCACCAAAGATGATTAATAACTGGGGTCTTAAAAGCTTGTGAGCAGCCAAGGAATAACTATTGGTCTCTTCCCATCTGGAGCAAAGAAGAGTAAAGAAAATCAAAGATGGAAGGAAAGAATTAGCCTAAAACACTAATAGACCACGTGAAAACTAGCCTATATGACCCTGGGACGAGAAGAATTAGATGGTGCCCAGCTACCACTACTAACTGCTCTGAAATAGATCACAACAGGAGGTCCTGGATAGAGTAAGAGAAAAATGTGGAACAAAAATCAAAATCATATTAAAAAAAAAAATACTGGGCTTACTGCTCTGATGGAGATTGGTAGAACCCCCAAGGCTACGGCCTTTAGATACCCTTCAAGCCTGGAAATGAACTTACCCTCCCACCTCACCACCCTACCCCTGGCTCAACTTTCAGCCAAGCAATAGATAGGCCTATAAGATGAACATAAAACCAGGGAGGCACATACTCCTTAGAACAATCAATCATACCAAATCCAAAGACAGCATTTGCCCAGGAATAAAGCTCAGAAGGCATGAAAGGATAGGAAAGAAACAAAAAGAAATGGTAAACAGGAAGAGGAAGTGGGAAGAGTGCTGTTACATTGTGGGGATTACAATCAATGTCATGAATAAAAATGTGTATGAATTGTTAAATGGAAAACTAATTTGCTCTGTAAACTTTCACCCAAATCACAATTAAAAAAAAAAAAAATCACCCATTATCTTTGAGTCAATTCTGACTCATAGTGATCCCATAGGACAGAATAGAACTGCCCTATAAATTTTCCAAGGCTTTTTTTTTTTTTTTTTTTGCAGCCTGGCTACCCTGAGCAGCTCCACAGTGCCTGGACCCCTGACCCAGACACTGTGAGATAAAGGGGTATGCTGCTCTAAATGGCTTTTAGTGCAGGGGTAGGGAATAAGAACACCTATCCCAGCATTTAGGAGCTCTGGTAGCTTAGTGCCTAAGGCACTTAACTGCCAACCACAAGGCTGGCAATTCAAATGCACTAGCCACTCCTTGGAAGGAAGGTTTGGCAATCTACTTCTGTAGTGATACTGCCTCAGAAACCAAGGAGGGATGGCTATGAGTGGAGTCCGACTCAATGGCAGATAACAACAACAACCCTAGCATTTCATGAAAAAACTTAAAGGCTGTAATTTTTTACGGAAAGGAGTGGTTAAGTGCTTGGTTGCTAACTGAGAGATCAACCCATCAGCCACTCTGTGGGAGATGTGGTAGTCTGCTTTCATAAATTTTTATAGTCTTGGAAATTCTATGGAGCAGTTCTACTCTGTTCTATAGGATAACTGAGTTGGAATTCTACTTCACAGCAATGGGTTTGGGTTTTTTGTTTGAATCTTTGTGGAAACAGATTGCCACATCTTTCTCCTGCAGAGCAGCTAGTGGGTTCAAACTGTCAACCTTTTGGTTAGCAGCCAAGCGCTTAACCACTGCACCACCCAGACTCACAATGACAGAACTGGTCAAACCAGTTGGAAGGAGAGCCTTTCTCTAATTCTGTGACCTTATCTAGAAGCAGATGCAACTATGATCAAATGAAATGACTAAGTGATGACTGAAGCCCTGAGTCCATCCTGAATCTATCTTTAATGAGGGATAGCCTAGAACTGAGCCATAGGCCAAGTATCCTGGGAACCTCTAAGAAAGAGCATGCCAACAAGCTCAGCAAGAGAGCCACAGTTCCACAGCATTTGATGGAGGGAGACTGGGCCATTTTTTTTTCTCAAAGCTAGACTCTACTAGCAGAAAGAACAATGATTGGGAATTCAAGAAACATGAGATTTAGTCCCACTTGTGCAATAAGATACCAGCAGGCCATGAGCAAGTCTCTCAACCTTTCTGAGTAAGATGGGGATTCAAAGATGGCACACATATGGCACACCTACCCTTTTCCCTCTTGTGCCTTCAGTAGAGGCTACTGATCAATCTCATCACTACTTAGAAATTTTTTTTTATAACATTCTAGGCAGCCTGCCAATTAATCAGAGTTGACATACAAGCTGAAACCTACTTGCTATCTCTCAATTCTCTAAAGTCTCTTCTAGCTCTAAAATGTATGGTTCCAACATTCCAAGTAATAAAGCCAATGTGCCCATTTTTCTGACTCAGAAATTTAAAAAAAAAAAAATCCAAAAACCAAATCCACTGCCATCGGGTTGATTCCTCCTCATAGTGACCCTATATAACAGAGAACTCCTCCATAATGGTTTCCAAGGCTGTAAATCTTTATGGAAGAAAATTGCCTCATCATTCTCCTGTGGAGAGGCTGGTGGGTTTCAACTACCAACCCTTTGGTTAGCAGTTGAATGCTTTAACTACTGGGCCACCAGAGCTCTTTGATTTAGTAATGCTGTTGTTAGGTGCCATTGAGCCATTTCTGACTCATAGCAACCATATGCACAACAGAACGAAATACGGCCTGGTCCTGCGCCATGTTCACAATTGTTGCTATGCTTGAGCCCATTGTTGAAGCTACTATATCAATCTGTCTTGTTAAGGGTCCCTTCAGTACTAGCTTTCTCAAAAAAAAAAAAAAAAAAAGGAAAATGGAAATTTAGGATGATAATTTCATAGATTCTACCTTCCCACCCAGAACCTGAGCAGAATCTTCCTGAGGTCATGTTGTCTTTCCCTTTGTGCCAGAGCCTTGGCCATGGCATATGGTTATCTAAAACATCTACATTGATCAGCTTTGTGCTTGGAATTAAGGAATCCACAAGAGAAGGAATTAGATCATTAAAAACCAAGTTAGAGGAGTTAATTATTTCATTTACTGCTGCCCTAAACAAGGGGCAGAGTGGGCAAATTTCACCCTCATTGCTAACTGAGTGGTAGGGACTAGCATGAATCCAGCACCCCAAATGTGGAAATGGATCCAATCCTCACCTCCCCACTTCTCCACCCTTGTCACCAGTTGCTCACAGGGCACTCTCTCTGACTCTAGCCACCCAGAGCTGGGTCAGAGCTCACAAGTCAAATGGACATCTTTCAGACCAGCTGCCTATATGGCATTTCTTTGATCCTAGCACTCAGAGCTAGCTTAGTGCTTAGAGATTATAAGAACCACCTTTTCAGACTGCTAAATAGGCAATCTACTTCCATAGTGATACTGCCTTGGAAACCCAACAACAACAAATAGGCAGACACAGCCCCTCCAGGCTCTCACTGCCCCTGTGGCTTTGTTAATTCCTTAGAAAGACTCTTATAATGCCACAGAGTTTACCATACTTATGGCTACAACTTTATTACAACCAAAAAGGATACAAGCAAAGAGATATACAGGATGAGGTCTGAAAATCTTCCGTGTTATAAAGAGGGATACACTACCCTCTCTCACGCGTTGTCACCAACTAGGAAGCTTCATCTGAACCTTAGGGTTAAGGGCTCTTATTGGCCTCCCCACATGGCCATGATCTATTACATAATGCTACATGATTCTTAGTTAGCATCAAGTCCCCAGGCAGTGCCTCTTAGTCTAGTCACCCTCCATTCATTAGCCTTGGGTGTTACTATGGTTCAAAAGAACAGAAAACAAAGGCAAAAAGTACTTTCGGCAAAGTGACTTCACACCTCACAGCTGCTGACCAGATTCAGTTAATTTCTCAGTTCCCCTTATAGGAAAGCAATCACAGAAACAGGGCCTGGATGGGAACAGTTTCAAGAATCCAAGTGGTTGCAACTGTTTTATTAAGAGAAGTAGTGAAGGGGTTAACATTTGGGACTCATCTCACAACCCGCACCTAACCTCAAAAACCACTGAGAGACAAGACAGATTCATGTATGTATTGTGAGCCAGCTGTCCAAATCAAGAGGGGGGGGGGCATCTGTGCTCTGGCTTCAGGAGGAGACCTCCACAGAAGCATCAAAATGGACAGGTACATATGGGTTCCCCTCACAGGCCACAATGATATATCTCATCATATTGCTGGTCTGGTATGCACAGTTGGGATACTTGGAGCCGCTTGTCAGGCGGCAGTCTGTGATATGCATGCTTGAATTGCTCTGGTGGCAGTTGGGCTGCTTGTTCTTGCAGGTGACACTCTTCTGGTGGCAGATGGCCTGGACATCCACCAGGGACTCATGCACAAAGGTGTTCACTGGCTTGCACCATCCCTCTGTCATATTCCGGCGCCTCATCATTTGGTTGCAGTAGCTGGAGCTACTGGGTAAGCTGTCTGAATCCATGTGTTGCCGCTGGAACTTCATGGCTGGGGACTCCTTGCCCAGGGAAGGCTGGGCCCAACCCAGCACCAGCAGCAGCAGGGCTAGCAGTGGGAACAGGATGAAGGACTTCTTCACAGCCATGGTGTCCTCCACACCTGGCAGAGCCTGCCCAGGAAATGGAGAAAGACAGAAAAGCATCCTCTTAGAAAGAACCCCAACTCCTACCTGTGTGGCTTCCTTGGCTTACAATTTCTCTTTCAGATCATCCTTCTTCCTGAGAGATTTTCCAAGGAAAGAGACACTCACACATACCCCTCTTCAAGAGAATTTTATTCCTCCTAGCTAGAAAAAGAGCTCCTGGGTGGTACAAATAGTTAAGTGTCCAATTACTAGTAGAAAAGTGGTGGTTCCAACTCACCCACAGGCAGCTCAGAAGACAGATTTGGCATCTGCTGCCAAAGGATTGTTGCTGTTGTTGTTGTTATGTGCTGTCGAGTGGGACCCGACTCACAGGGACCCCTCCTTGGGTGTCCGAGGCAGTATCACTACAGAAGTTGATTGCCCCATCTTCCTTCCAAGGAGTGGCTGGTGGGTTTGAACTGCCAGCCTTCTGGTTAGCAGTCAAGTGCTTTATGCACTACGCTACCAGAGCTCCCACAGTACTAACAGAAATTTAGGGAGTGACATAAAATCCTGGCAGTACTGTCTAGATTCTAGTCCTGTCGTCCTGTCTAGTTTTTTTTTTTTTTTTAATCTAAAATACACTTGAAAAATAAACAGTTGTACCTCTGGTAGCATAGTGGCTAAGACACTTGCCTGCTAACCAGATGGCTGGCGGTTCAAACCCACCAGCCACTCCTCGGAAAGAAGGTTGGGCAATCCTACTTCCGTAGTGATACTGCCTCGGAAACCAAGGAGGGGTCGCTATGAGTCAGGTTTGACTCGACGGCACATAACAACAACAACAACAACCCAGGCTCAAGTGGCTCATTAAAAAACCAAGAAAACAAACTCACTGCTGTCGAGTCAATTTGACTCATAGCGACTCCTCCTTGGGTTTCCGAGATGGTATCTCTACAGAAGTAGATTGCCCAATTTTCCTCCCAAAGAGGGGCTGGTGGGTTTGAACTGTCAGCCTTCTGGTTAGCAGTCAAATGCCTTAGGCACTACACCACCAGAGATCCTGAAGTGGCTCACTAGAAGATCATTTTGAATAAATTATGAGTAAAAGTGTATCCCTGAGGTACCACCATGACATCTAGGATCATGGTCCAGAGAGCCTTCTCCTCGACCACAAGGGAACCTCTCAGCCTACTGCCTGACACAGGCACTCATAAAGGGTTTCCACTGTATTCCAAAGAGATGTGCTCCCCTCCCCTAACTTGCAGGCTCCCCCTTCTCCAGTCCATGGGTTCTCTGCAGTCAAAGTGCTCCTAAATTTTCCATCCCCTACCCCAGCTCTACCCCGAGTGATGTTTACCTGGCCCAAACTTTCCCTTTGCTAGCTTCTCCCTAGCTTCCTCCTCTGCAAACTCTGAGCAGCAGCAGATTCTGAGAACACCTTTTGGAGAGCTTACCTTGGTTTCCAGGAGAAAGCAGATGGCTAGCTTCTGCTGCCACTTGTCCCCAGGTTGTGGACCTTATACAGGTTACAAAGTGGCTTGGCGTCCAAGAAATAAAGGATGGGAGGAGTGGCCTGGGTTTGGTCCACGCAGAAACAGACTGAGTGAGGAAGGGGTAGGGAATCAATCAAGCCACTCCCTTCTCAGCACTACTGGGAAAAGTGTCTTTGCTTGTAGGTGACTTTCTTATCACTTGAGTCTTATCTGTCTACTGATTCACAAGGAACAGCAGAGAAAGGCACTAAGACTGCTGGCATCCAGACTTCTCAAATTGCAACAAAGCCTTTGTTATCACTTTTGGGCTCATTTTCACCAGGTAGCCTCAGAGGTTAACAAGAGGCACATCAAGTGAACCCAGGAGAGGGCACTCCCTTTCTCTCTCCAGGAGTCCTGGGGCACCCTGGGAAGAATTCCCTGTCTCCCAACAGCACATCTACTGGGTAGATGGGTGAGGGGTTCAGCTACTCCCAGCAAGCAAGCTTCCTGTGTCTGGAGAAGGAGGCAGAGAGGGCCTGGAATAGGAAGAGAAGCTTTTACAGTGACCTCTCCCAGCCCTGGTGGCGTAGTGCCTAAGGCATTTGACTGCTAACCAGAAGGCTGGTGGTTCAAACCCACCAGCCACTCCTCGGAAGGAATGTTGGGCAATCTACTTTCATAGTGATACCGCCTCCGAAACCCAGAGAGGGGTCGCTATGAATCGGATCCGACTTGATGGCAGTGGGTTTGGTTTTGGTTTTGGTCCCCCAGTTCTGGTGACTTCCTGCCTACCCTCCATCACATTCCTGAAGTGTTGAGAGTAAGTGAGTTCTTACCCACAGTGACTACTCATACTGTAAATCAAAGTTGAGTAGAGGAACTAAAGATAAACCAAGACCCAGAGTGCTTTTTGGAGAAAAGAAAAATACACTGAGCACTATATTTCTTAATAGTAGAATTCCCTCCTAGAAAGAGACCTGTTTTTGCTGGGCAGGTAACTTTGATACTTTTGGTGTGAGAATTATCAGAATATCCATCCATGCTCTGAATGAGGTCTGCCTCAGTCAAAAATCTGCTCTGTACCTGAAGAGCTGGGCAAGGGTTGGGGAAAAGCTATTAAAAGCAAAATCTACTCCCAATCTAAAACACTTCTCAAAAAAAAAATAGAAAAGAAAGAAAAGTTTTGTTGTTGTTGTTATGTGCCCTCCAGTCAGACCCAACTCATAGCGACCCCTCCTTGGGTTTCCGAGGCAGTATCACTATGGAAGTAGATTGCCCAATCTGCCTTCCAAGTAGTGGCTGTTGGGTTTGAACCACCAGTCTTCTGGTTAGCAATAAAATGCCTTAGGCACTATGCCACCATAGCTCCTCGAAAAGTTTTATTATTTAATAAACATTAAACCAGAATGTGATGTATCATAGGCAATCAGCTAAAGAGATCCCAAAGGACTTCCAGCAAGATGGAGGAATAGAGAGTGCACAAACGGCAAGGAGGCCACATGTTCTGACCTTCTCTAATCCCAC